TCCAGCTGGATGAAGCTCAGCTTTCATTTCCTGCTAACGTGCCGAGTGCTGCAGTATTGGAGATGTCAGAGAACCTGCGATTGAAGATTTACTCCATCTTCTGCAAAATTGGTAACCAAACAAATTATTTAGTTTCAGACTAAATGTAAAGTATTTATTAAGAAGATTTTGTAATTAGATTATTTGATTAGCCCAATTTCTTTGTAGCTCCTCCTATATACATATTTAGGCAATAAAAAAATACTACTATGTAAAACAAAATGCTACTTTAACATGTCACTTCTCGCAGCCTTTCAAACGATATTCAGTCTCAATTTGGCTTTTTTAAATTAAGTTTCTCTTATTGATTGAAGATCTTTTAAAGTTTTGAAATATTGAATATCAAAAGCAAAGCATTCGCTAATATTGTTATATTAAAAAGCAATCAGTAGTATTTGTGACTTTTTCCTTTCAGGGTTTCAGGATCTTCCTGGATTGCTGGGTAAAGATTATGTGACTCTGACCATCATCAGGAGATATCTAGACTTTAAGGTAAAAGTGAAGAAAAAATATTGTAGATGCTTCATATAATAGTTGCTCAGACTGTGTTCAAAGTTTGTTCAAACTTGAAATGAATGTAAAGCTTCAGCTGTGAGTAGAGTAGAGATGTTCAAAGTGAAAGTACAAAATTCCTCGTTATACAAAATACTGAGACGGATTTGAGAATCTGTCAGGAAAACCATCTATAAATAACCGTTAGTCACAGGGAGTAAAGACAGACTTAAAGATGTCTGGAGCTCTCTTAAAGGTTTCAGATGCAGAGGACATAAACCGAGATAAACATCAGCATGTCTGTCTCTTGTGGTGCTGCAGGTCGGTGAGGTGTGGGATGAGATCAGCCGGGAACTGAGTCTGGAAGGCATGAGGCCGATCAGCCCCGACCAGGAGGCTCTGAGCACCATCTGCAAGATCGCGGAGGACACGGCGAGGAGGATCGTGGAGGAACAAAACAGCATCCTGGAGCACCATCAGAAGGAGGACATCAGCGAGGAGAAGCTCACATACACAGA